AAATCTTTTTAGTAAGCCAATAAATTCATTTATCTCCTAAGCATTTCCACACCGTTATTGGAATATCATCAGGTCCAACTGCTTTACCATACGTCATTTTCTTTGAAGTCCCTTTAACTTTGATTTTACTAATACGAAGATAAAAAAAAAATCTCTATTTTCATTTAGGATATTAAGGCCACTTAAGTCAATCTTATTCTCATAATCTTCATTGAAAAACTTATTGAAACATCTCATCCACCTAAGTTGAATATCCTCTTCTAATAAAAACACTTTTTGATCATCATCCTTAATGCAGTTCACTTGCAATAGGTCTTTACTCCTATCTCTTTGCTTGGCTAATTTATACATACATCTTTCATCCTCCTTATCATCTAATCAATTATATAAATCATTAAAAGATAAATTCTTTGCATCGCCTATTGTTTTCATAGACTTCTTACATACTCCTTTATATCTTTCCTAATTTTCTGAGCTTTTATATTTAAACCAATTTTTTATAACAAAACTTCTTATTTTTTATCTTTACTTATATATCCTGAATCTATCATAAATTATTTTTATTATTAGGAGTTTTTCTTTGAGATACTCTAAGCATATACTTAGCAATTTTCTTAGTATGACTACCTACTTTTTTCCACATTACATTAGTTTCTCATGCACGATAAAAATTTTGAAATCTTGAATATTACTCTCAAGTATATTTTTATTAGTATTCTTTAAATAGCCCCATCTAATCTTAAGACATTTTACTTTATTTTTCATATTTCGTTCATATATCTTAAAGTTCAAAACTAATAAGCAATGTTCGGTACATAAACTTTCACTTAAAATGAGTTTACAATCTTTGCAATCTAAACGATCTAATTTTCTTATAAAAAAATAATCAATCTTAGTTGTATTATATCAATTCTTGTAAGTGAAGAGATGCTCCTCTCTTTTTTTAAATAAGGTATTAGCAATAATAAAATCATAAGCTAGAGTAAAATCTAATATAATCCTACCACCTTCAATAGTCGCTTCAAACCCATAGCCACCATAAATGCTTTTAAAATTTTTTGTCACTCTACCGGCATGTCCATTTAAATCCCCTCCAAAAAAATTATTTTCTTTAAAAGGTTTGCTTTGTATTAATTCTTTCAAGTCATTCCAAAATTTTAATACATATTCAAACCTACTTGAGGAGCATAACGTTTATAATATTAATAATCTTAGCATCAACAGTAATTTTTAAAAGTATAATTTTATCTTCAATTCTAGTAATTTCAACAACGTTATCCTTCAAACTCTTATCTATAATTACACATACATCATTTCTAACACAACTACTACCTAAATATCATAGTTTAAATCATAAACTATTATTTTACTTAGCCTTCTTCCCAACCCATTTAGTTACCTGAATGCATAAAATACTTAACTTCCTGTGAATCATAAAAACTATTAATTTCATTAATTTTCCTGTAAGAAAACATATATTCCAAGTTCTTATCATAATTCTAGTTTCTTGGACTAACTTTTTTGCCAACATCTGCCCATGATATAAGAACTCTTGCTTATTTAACTGGTCCAACAACTCTATTTTAGCGTCCAAGATCCCGATATATACACCAAAATTTCACCCGCAGACAATCGTATTTATCCTGCACCTAATCAATTCACTGCCTTTGCCATAAGCAAAATGTCCTAAACCTAGGTAAGTGATCCATAAGTGAAAGAGACAGAAAGAAATCCATCAAAATAAGTTGTTGAAATAAGGGATTATTCCTTCACTTTCCCTCTTACCATCCCTCCTCAACACTTTGACAGTTTAACCATTATGCTGCTCTTAACACAAAACTATTTTGAATATGATAATTAAAAGTAAGGAATCATATGGCAATATATTAGACATAAATAACAAATAATTAGGCTGTCTGGCTGAGCAAGGAAAAACCTAAGATAATTCCAAAATCAATATTAAACTGAAAAGGTTATAAAACTTAATAAATCAATTTGCATACTTTCCGAAAAAAAATGTATACATCAATTATGAATTTGCTGTTCTTTTTCATGAATTTAATTTATTTCCATTTTGATAATAGTTTCAACAGTAGTAAATTTACTCGAAAGTGAAAATTTAAAGTTTCATGCTTTTGACATCCTACAATTATACAGGTTGACGCTAGCACTGTGTAGTAGAGATATTTTTAGCCATTAAATCATCTTAAGATCTGAACATACATATTCTATCCAATCAGACCATGGCATTCATAAGAACAAAACTTCTAATTAGAAATTAATGTTTAACAACTTAACAGGAAAACTATATAGTTTTGTTCTGGCAAAATGCTAGAGCAACTAAAATACTGAAGCATCAAATTTTAATCCTTCCACAAAAAGGAGAATAATGCGGGATAGTTTATCAAAGACTGGATGCCAAGTAAAAGGATTTCCTTGGCATTTCATTAAGCACTTCATAAGACAAGAATGTTTAAAGATACAAATAAACCAAGAAAGCAGAAACTCACTCTTGTAATCAGTCCAAGTACCATAGGCAAACAACCGAAGCAAGTCAAGAGAACTAGAATATTGAGTCCCTTCAAGCTACATTGGAATATAACACATCTTAGATATCCACACTTATGCAATTTAATTATAAGCACTAATAAAAAACGAAGACAGCAAGGGACCATAATATATAAAAGGTTAAATCAACTCCATCTCTTACAAAAACAAAGAACCACAAATGCTCTGAATCAAAATCCAAGAAGAGAGAACAAAAGATGATAAATAGCACAGTACAAGGCATCACCGTGGAGAGATTGGGGACGGAGAGAATCTCAGAGAACGCAAAGAGCGACGGATGCGACGTCGCCTCTATTAGAAGAGCAGCAAGAGACGACCCTTCAAGATTTCCAGCCTGCTTCACGAATTGCTGGAGGACCTCCGCCTGCTGCTGCTCAATATCCATGGCCAGAGGACCAACTCCTGTTCCTTCGATCACCCAGCTTCTGCGCAGTAATTTCTTTCAGATTCGACAAAAATGTTCGAATCTTGATGTAATAAGTGGAAAACGATATCAAAAGAGATGGATTGTTTCCGTGGTTTATGAGAATAATCGACTTAGGGTTTTGCAGCGATTTGCTCAGGCAGGAACTTCCAGCGGAGAGGCACAAGGCTTTTACTTGCCATGCGTGGCGTTTATATGTAAAGACGTAAGGTTTATTAATAATTTAAAGGGATTTTTATATACATACTAATTTATAATATGTGTATTACATATTTAACACTTAATTCTTAAATATTACACTCCTACCACTATTCTCTATTTTTACAACAAAATTACCACTCCGTTGAAATAAGACCTCACTTCGTCTCTTTCATTCGGCTAGCCCTAACCACCGCGAAACCATCTTCTCTCCCGATCTTCCTCTCACGGGCTGCATATCTTCACATATCTTTCTCTCACAGGCTGCAAATCTTCCTCGCAACTCTTCTGAAATCTTTATTGAATGAAAAATCAAACATCCTCATTTTGAACATTTTCAATAAAGCCATTATTGAATGAGTAAAAACTGATGTCGAGTATTGCTATAAGAAAAAAAATCTGTTCACGCGGGAATAAAAAAACAGAGAAATCTTACCAATTTCGGAAGAAGAGCAGCAACGGGTAGCTGGAAGAGCAGCAACGGGTAGCTGGAAGAGCAGCTACGCTATCGAAGAGCAGCAACAGTGGAAGAGTAAATACGAAGGGATTTGAAAAAAAATCGCGATGATTCACAATCGGACAAAGAACAGCAGCGGGAAAAAAAAACCTGTTCTCCCGCAGAAAGCCCAGACGGGAGGAAGATAAAACGGAGTGAGGTATTGCTGTTAACGGAGTGGTAATTTTGTTGTGAAAATAGAGGATAGATGGTAAGAGTGTAATATTTAAGAATTAGGTGTTAAATATGTAATATGCATGTTATAAAGTGGTATGTATGTAAAAATCCCTAATTTAAAATGTAAAAGAAAATGAAGGACTGTTTGATCGAATAATAATTAGTATTGGACTCTCAAAGTTATCGTATTGGATTATTATTATTATTGTATTTTATAATACTTAAAAAAATTATTAGATAAGTGAAAAGTTATTTAATATTGAAATATTATAGAGAAAATGAGAGTGTTTACTATTGAATAATAATTTCATATAAATAATATAAACAAGTCAATCCCACATCCAAGCGTGCCGTTCTCATCTTCCGGCATATAGGGGCGGAACCCCTTCGGGTCGAGCTATTATTCTGTGCGGACACCGGACGTTCGGTTAAGCGATGGATACCGAGCGGCACCAAGCATGGGTACTGAGCTCGGAATTGAGCAATACTGCAATAGGGTGACGTGGCGCATTTTTATCGGTCTTCAGACGCCCTTCAAACTCCGCAAAAAATAATAAATCCTTAGGGTCAGGGGGTTTCATATAAATAATATAAACAAGCCAATCTCACGTCCAAGCGTGCCGTTCCATCTTCCGGCATACAGGGGCGGAACCCCTTAGGGTCGAGCTATTATTTTGTGCGGACACCGGACGTCCGGTTAAGCGATGGATACCGAGCGGTACCAAGCATGGGTACTGAGCTCGGAACTGAGCAATACTGCAATAGGGTGACGTGGAGCATTTTTATCGGTCTTAGGACGCCCTTCAAACTCCGCAAAAAATAATAAATCCTTAGGGTCAGGGGGTTTCATATAAATAATATAAACAAGACAATCTCACGTCCAAGCGTGCCGTTCTCATCTTCCGGCATACAGGGGCGGAACCCCTTAAGGTTGAGCTATTATTCTGTGCGGACACCGACGTGTAAAGACCATTTTGCTCCCAGGTTCGTCCGGACGAAGTTGGATCGTCCGGGACGATCGGTACAGGTTGTGCAGGAAAACATGTTTGGCTGCATGGTTTGTCTGGACGAAAGTCGGATCGTCTGGACGAAAATCGTCCCGAGAGCAGATCGTACATGACGATAATTAATTTCGTCTGGACGAAATTTGTCCAGAGCCCAAGTCGTCCGTGACGATAATTAATTTCGTTTGGACGAAATTTGTCCAGAGCCAAATCGTCCCAGGACGAAGTTACGATCGTCTGGGACGATCAGTTTTGATATATATATAAAAACGATATATTTTAAAAAGAAAAGGACGTACAGGAGAGAGAAAAACGAAGAAAAAGAGGATTTTTGAGCGACTCCGGTCTGTTTTCGTCCGTTGTGGTAGTTAGAGAAGTTGGCCGACTCGAGGTAAGACACATTCCGCCTTTCTCAATTTTCAGAAACGAGATTTTTAACGCATTTTCTGTTCCGGATTTTGTTTCCGTTAGCAAATTTCTGGTATTATTTTCTTCTGACAAAGGTTTTACCGCGTAACTTTTGGTATGTCTCTGAGATGATAATTATGCACGTTTTGAGTATTTTCTAGAAGATTTATACCAGACATTTTGAATTCTGCGGTGTTTTGATTGAACTGCAAATTATCAGGATGTTGAAAAATGTTTTGTCAGTACAATGAAAGTCTTATAATGTTGTTGTGAATGTTCTGTGGTAATTTGGTAAATTTCTGAGTCTGTGAATTTTGTGTAAATTTCGTATACTGCCGTTATGTCGCTGAATTTTTGTACGTTTCTGAATTTTCTGAAATAAGATGATTTGAATATTTGATGTGTTTGTGCTATCGGAAGGGAGTTATAAGGGGTGGAATCCTCTGTGATTCCGTTGTCTGGGTCAGGGAATTCTGAAATCTGAAATGAGCTCTGAAATCTGAAAATGTTCCGGAACCTCTGATATCAGTTCTGTTCTGGTGCTATAAGCACAACGGGAGACATAAGGGGCCAGAATCCGTTGAGATTCTGTCTGTGTCAGGGAAGGGAGGCATAAGGGGTCAGAATCCGTCTAGATTCTGTTTGTGTCAGGGACATCTGAAATCTGATATCTGAATATGCTCTGTGAGTTATTCTGATTATTCTGTACGATTCTGTCTGCTTTGTGATTTGAAAGCTTTATGATATCTGTTCTGAACTCCGATTTGATATGACTTCAGTCTTTCGTATCCGATGTTTGATTTCTGATTGAGCTATTATATGTACTATATGCTATACGATTTTATGTACGATTGTTCGATTTCTATACGATTGTTCGATTTTTGTACGGATTCTTTTATGATGTGAGTTTCTGATGATTTTGATTGGTGATTGATGTCTTGCTGAGCTGTTAGCTCATCCTTGTTTTCTGCGTGGTTTTCAGGTTCTGGGAAAGGGAAGAAGGTCTTGGACTAGACGTTCTGAGTCTGATATGTGATTAGGTACTTGATACTTCTGATTTTTGTACAGTCATGATTTTTCTTCTGTTCTGTTCTTTCTGTCTGAAGCCATGTACTGTATCTGTATATAATTATTTTGATGAAAGAAAAGATAGATGAACTGCGCTGTATTTGGATGTTTATAGTAGCTCTGTGTTTTTGTCTGGTATATTTGGAAGGGAAAGTTATGAAGCAAATTCCAAAGCTAGATCCTGGATTTGTTGGCTGTGTCGTGGCGCGATGCGAACGGGATCCGTCCGGTCGGGTTGGGTCGTGACAGGACTCCGGTTTAAGCGATGGATACCGAGCGGTTACCAAGCAATGGGTATGAGCAATTACTGCAATAAGGGGACGTGGCGGATTTTTTATTGGTTTCGGACGCCCTTCAAAACTCCGCAAAAAAAATAATAAATCCTTAGGGTCAGGGGGCAATTGCCCCCCCCCCCCCCCCCCCCCCCCCCCCCCCCCCCCACACACACACACACAACTTTATAAGTACTATAATCATTAGTCGATTTTCCAATCAAACAGAATAGTAAGAGCAATTTATCATTATATATTTTATTAATAGAACTTCCAAAAATATTCTACACCAAATTTGTTTCGGGAGCGTTTGCCCTGGAAACTCCCGTAGGGGCGCTGCCCTTGACCCCATGATCTGACCCGGGCATGTCGAAACCCAGCCGGGGCGCTTGCCCCCTCGTGTAAAGCATCAACCTTGTCATTTTTCTCTTACTGAAGGGGGAGACCTTCCTAACAAATAAATTGCTGGGTCATTGACTGGGTAGAACTGATGGTTATTGTAGTTCATATTGGTAGCGAATATTTTGTCGTTCCTATCAACATAACAAGCAAGCCTTTTAGTAATGGTAGGAGTTATGTTAACCGTCAATTAGCAATTGTGGTCTTTATTGGCAATAACAAGCATCATTATTGGCCAATTGCAACCAACAATGGTGTATATTAGCGTTGGGGTCAACAGTGCATATTAGCTTTGTAGATAATAGGCATCGGTGTTGATATCGATACTGCACCATTGGTCTTGGCAACAACAAACGCATTGGACTTATTGTCTCGCGGTCAAACATCAACCTTGTTATCAACAACAACAACAATCAAAGGTTAGCCGACATAACTCTAAAAGTATCTCATTTAAAATCTCTTTGTTAGCCTCATCTAAAACTCTTTCAAATGTGTGAAGAAGAGTCTAATTCACATCCAATCTTTTTGTAGCTGGCCCATGATGTTTAGGCAAATTTTTGGGCTCATATAGGGTTTTTTTTTTTTTTTTTTTTTTTTTTTTTTTTTTTTTATGGCTATTGGGATCACATAGCTTTTTATATTTTAGACACAGATTTTGATACTTTCAGAACCCATAGGATTCGCTGCGTGAACATATGTGGCAAATTTAGGGAATGGTGAAATGACGGTTGAGCATAATTCCCTTAGTTCACAACCTTCACGGTAATGTTAGGGAGTGATCATGCTTTATGAATTTCTCTCTTTTATTAAATTTTGATTTTATATCATGAAATTTTCATTAACAAAAATACAATATAAAATAAATCATAAATATTACATGTAGGGGTGTAAGTGAGCTGAGCCGGCTTGTGAGTCGGCTCGAGCTCGATGCATTAACGAGCTCGCGAGCTGAGCTTATCAAGCAACGAACTCGAGTTCAAGCTTGATGAGACTCGGCTTGTGAGTTCACGAGCCAGATTGAATCATTATTAATACTAAAAAGATTAATAATTTAACAGAGTAATATTTTAAAAAACTAGTAATTAAACATAATAATATTACTTTTAATAAATGTTTTGTAATAAATGCTGCAACTTTAATAAAAAAATAATTAAAAACTGGATTTAGAAAGGATTTGGGCAGTAGAAGCAGAGTTCGGGCTTGAAAAAACATGTATCCTACATTTCCTGCTATAACATTTAATGCATTTAATTTTTTTTCCTTTTTTGGAAGGCGAACCGAGCATGCCTGTTGATTTGTGTGCGAAAGCTTCCGTCGGAGGCTCGCGAGCTGGCTTGAGCTCGTTTATAGTGGGGCGAGCTCGTTTATAGAGTAACGAGCTCGACTCGAGCTCTTGTTTTCCGACTGACAAGCTGAGCTCGATAGTGCCAAAACTCGACTCGCTTACACTTCTAATTACATGCATTTCAAGGACTCCCTTCTAACATTTAAAATTAACTTACCACATAAGTTGACCGACGACTACATCTATATAGCACATATTTTTTGTATGACAAAAATTAGGTTACACAACATAGCACAATGAAGGGTAAGTTTACTTGTTACACAACCTCAAAGGAGTTCCACATTAATGTATAGGAAATGAGTCCATCTTGTAATAGTTTTGAAGTAATGATTTTAAGCTGTTGATTTGTTAAGACTTTGAATTATTTTTGGACTCAAAAGATTTTTTTTTTTTATGTATAGCATTAGAGGGGCAAGTCACAAAAAAAAAAAACTATTCAATCCACTTAATATCTTATGCAAGTATTTAGATTAGAAATTTATGGAATCAAATTCAGGATTATTTAAACTCCATTTTCATTAAACTTACTGTCAAAGCATGTATTTTAATGAGATGATTTCAAAAAGCCCAATAACACTCAAATTGATGTCATTAAAGTGCTCAATGTTTTGAAAATATTAAATGTTTAAGGGCTCATTCTTGATCATTAGATGGAGTTTTAGGGATTTTGGCAAAAATAGCAAAAATGTATTTCTGAAAATTTTATATAAATGTATTTATGAAAATATATAATCATGCATTCATTTTATCATAAAAGAGATCGAGAGTTGAATAGAGCTTCTGGATTTAAAAAATCCTAAAGCTCTACCCATTGATTTTTGTCGACAATTACCATTGATGATCTTCATCACTCACTCGCCACTAAGGCACTAATGCCCAATATTGGGCCTGATCATTGTCTTTTATCAACCAATATTGACATCCATATTCACCCTATCATCACGTGCCTTCAAACAAAGTTGATGACCATCATCACCAACCAACTTCGGTAGTCAATAACCGACACTGATACTCATAACCCTTTTATTATTTCTCTAGCATTTTTCACAACTCTTATAAGAGAATAGGCCACAAATCTATATTTCGCTATCTTTCCTTCTCTAGATAAGAGGAATGATGATATTTTGTAATATTCACCATAGGGGTGTCAATAAATGACACGACTCCTCAACTCGACAAGAAAAATTCAGGTTTGAGTTGACCCATTTGATAAACGAGTTAGATTTTGGTTGAATTTTTCAATTCATTTATTAAATAAGTTGGGTTTGGATTGATCCACCAAAACATTTTTTAACCCAAAAATGATTTGTTTAACATATTTTTTCCTTAATTTTTTTACATGTGGGTATAATATTATTAATTTATATCAAATATCATAATAGTAAATAGTAAATAAGTTATAAATTTTTTTAAACAAAATATGCTAATTTGTTGAATTCAGGTCATTTGAGTTGCTAATAGGTTAGGTTCGAGTTGTTATTTTTGACCCGTTTATTAAACATATTGGGTTTAGATTGACTAATTTGGGTCGGGTCAATTTCATGCTAGATCCAAACTCGTTCTGTCAACATATTTTGACACCCCTAATTCACCATACATGTGGATTTGATGAATCCACATCTAAAATCTATCTTTGAAAATATAATAACTGTTGAGAAATTTTTATATGTGAGCTCATATATATTAAATATTATATATTAGTTGCTATCTATAATTGAGCCAATTAAATTCATATCTACTTAAGAATTAAATTATTATTTGACTTATGTGACATCTCATTTAATTTTGTATGAAATAAATATTGTATAGAGGCCAAGTAATTATTTAATTTTAATGATGGACTGAAATAAAATAAATATATTTTAAATATAAAATGATCGTGGTCCCTAGTTTAAGCAGTTAAGTTCTCATTTCTCATCTTGAGTGAAAGGAATGGGTCTCTCGCTCTCTTGGAGAATGCCACTTTCAACGTGGAAGACCAAAAAACTAAATTCTGCATTTCAATGGATTCATGTACGCTTCTGATAATTCTTCTCGATGATTTAACATATATTTCAGAGGCGATTTAACTATTTTTTTTATCTCCAATGTATCCTACAACAACTTCTTTCAATATTGAGCACATCATTAACCATAAGTAATGAAATTTCTGCTTAATGGTAACTCAACTAATCACAGGCATTCACCATGTGTAATTCTTCTTGGAAGTTAGAAAGGCCAAGACAATCCTAGGACATAGGCTCCATGAATGGATCCTTTTGCTAACAAATTATTAATTTCTCACTTAAGTTTGATGGACAATGCTCTTAGCAACCCATTTATTGCTTCAACAACTTCACTAACTTCCTCATGTGAGCCACCCACACTTTATCATCCTCTATTGACATTAGATCTAATATGGAGACTCCTTTGAGGGCATTTACTTGCATAACAACCACAATTTCCATAGCTAAAGTAAGCAAAACCATGTCTTGAAATTATTTATTATTTCATTTTGGATTAGTGGATCCCTAAGGAGTAGAGGATGGGGATTGATATGTGATATAAAACAAGGATGTAAGTTTGATCCCTAAGGAGTTACTTGTGAAAATAATGTCTATATTTTTTCTTTAATGATAAATGAGTAATGTAACTTATTTTTTATTGTTGCATTTTCTTTTTACATAGTTTATGATTTGCATCCTCTATTCTCGTCACTTAATCTGGTACATATCTAGGCTTGGCTTTCATTATTCCACCATGGATAAAATTTACTCCTTACATGTCTTCCTTCATCACCACCTTCCATGCCTTATCAACTTGAGATCAGAGCAAAATGACATTGATGTTATTTGATATGAGAATAGCTTGGTAGCTTTCGTCTTTCTTTCAATGGTTATTTTTTATCTTAGTTTTGACTCTTCATGGCTTTTTTTTTTTTCTTATGTTTTTTTTTCCCAATCTACTATGCAAGAAGATAGGAGCTTGGTGGGTTATTGCATTGTTCTTCAATTTGGTGACCAACATTGGCCCTTATTGAAAAATTATTAGTTTAAAATCATTTATTTCCTATGAAAAAGCTATATTAAGAGATGTTGAAATAGAACACATTTTTTTATTGCAAGAAGCTTGTTTAACAAAAAAATTATGCTATCAGTTGCCCAAAACTTAGTGATAAGGACTTTAAAATTTTAAATGCATGCATTACATATCCTCTTACATTAAAAAAAAAATAAAAAATCATAGCTTAAATAAAAAAAGGCCAACACCTTCAACAAAAAGAGATTTTTTAGCATGATTTGAGCCTCATCTTTGAACATCATAAATTTTAGTCTCCATAGATTTGACAAGAGAAATCTAAAGTTTATTCATAAGTTTAGAACCTAATTGGATGAAAGTAGGGGTGAAATCTATGAAGCTCCATTACTTTATTTGATTTAGCCTTTTTTGGAAGGTAGGGGATGACCACTCCTAAATTGGAGAAATTATTCCATGCGGAGTCCGGATGGGAAAGAACTGTCCGGACTCCGCAAGGAATAAATTCTCCCTAAATTGGAGTCAAGAATGGAGTGGCCCCATTTCCTCAGATCTACACTTCCAAGGCTAGATCGCGTAAATTATAAAGGAGATTCCCATCAATATTAAGTGTAATGCTAAGAAATAGATAAAAAAAAGTTCATTTGGAAGTAAATATAGGCATTTATTATTTCTGGGACATCAAATAATATATGCAATAGCATTTAAAAATTTCTAGCAAAAGTTCCAATTAAATATAACAGTTAATCATACAAGTCTATTATATTGTGCATATTCTTGTTTGCCTTTTGTTGCCTTCCTCAAAAATGTCACATATTATAAATATAATGCATATCATAGAAACTTAGTTAAAATATAAATAATCATTGCCATCTTTCACTCCACATTTGGTGTTTATGTGTACCTGAAAAATGTAATAATGGGTTGGGCCCATGATTCCATTGGAAAAAGAAAAAAAATAAACTTTCAATACATGAACCACATCATCCATATCATGGATTGTAAAATGCAATAATATAATAAGTAATGGAGCATGGTCAAGGTATGTCATGTATTACAGCATATGTAATAGCATGTATGCCAAATGAAACCATATGATCAAGCATTGAGTATGGCATATTGTAACACATGTGGAATGCCTAAATAAAATAGGTCATCACATCGATTCTATAGGAGTTCCAAATTTGGGTAAATCAATCACAAGTTCCATACGAATAATCCGTTATAAAGGAACTTATGATTCGCCAATTAACACTTCATTTAGGATGACTTTTTAACTGCTTTCTAAAAAAAAATTTCTAGCGTAAAAATTTATTAAAGCAATGAAAAAATAATAATAAAAAGCTATTCCAAACGAAACCTAAACTAGATGGGAGGTCATTAATGTTCGTAAGAGGTAACCACCTCAGATTCATTAGGACTCATTAATTAAGGCTCAAATAATAAAACATGAGTTTCCATGCTAGGCTAATCATGCTTTAGAACATATAGGTTCTTCTACAACGTGGCATTGTCATATAGGCTTCGTTTGAGACGGCTTTCTTTCTGCTTCTTAAATCAACTTTTTAGTTCAAAAGTTTTAATTTGTGTACTAGAAAACTGCTTTAAGAAGCTGAAAGAAAACCGTCCCAAACGAAGCCATAATCAATGAATGACATAGAGCATTAGTCAAGTGTGATCAACTCATTCTAAAGCTGACCATGAAAAGAAAAAAAATGGTATTTTCATGTAAGTAATTCTTTTATTTCATTCTAAGACCCAAATGGTTTGTCTAGATATTTGGTGTTGGCACTCTATGTTGACCTAGTAAGTTTTCCAATCACTTTCATATGGGCAACTGAAAATGACGGTCTTTAAATATTGCCATCTAATCAAAGTATTGACCATCAGGTACAAGAGTCGATCATAAACATTTTTGGATCAAGTGACCATTTTAACTGGGGGGATTTACCTTAACCTTCCTAGTAATGCCACCATTAGAGTCGCATACAATATATCACAAGGTATTGTAGAACCAGTTGAAACATTGAGGAGGCTCCTCCCTGTGATGAGGATAATGCACTTAGGTAAGTGATCAAGGTTGGTAGCCACATTGTCGAACAATAGAAGTTTCAACTTGACGGTGAGGCATCAATGAAATTTCTACTGAGGAAAGTTAAGATAATCATCTACAGGGAAAGAAAAAAAGCTCAATTTCCATATAGATGAATTGGAGGTGGAGCATTTGGATCAAGAAGATGGCTTCTTCACTTTCTATAGTATGATCTGGTTGCTCTGGATTTGGATCTAGGTTTTACAGCCAAAGTATAGAGAAATTATTCTGTGCGCGAAGGCCGGATGCAGAACACCGTCCGGAGACCAATTAGAATGCGCCACGTCAGAGGTACCGAGCCGCGATACCGAGCAAGGGGTGACGTGGCACATTCTGGCTGGTCTCTGGAGGGTGTTCGGCGTCCGCACAAAGCAAAATATAAAAACTATTACATATTCGCTCACGCATTAGGGATGTATATCTTAAAGTTCCTCTTATAGTCTAATAAGGATTTCATCATGTTGATGATTAACAAGATGACCTCGATAAGGGTTTCCACAGCTAGTCATTGTGACAATATGGTGATGAAAAAGAAATTTCAAGATGATGAAATGCTAATAAACAAAAGTAGAACTAAAGAAAAACATGAATCAACTTATTCTGATATCAAATATGATTTGAAATTACAAGGGATGCTAAAATGATAGACGTGAAGAAGGATTGAGCCGACATGCCAATGTTTAAGGTTAGAAGCTCACTAAAAGTGCAGATAAAAACATAAAAAAAATTATAAAAAATAGTTCCTTAGAAAAGTGCAGAATTTAAAAAATGCTAATGAAGGAAGCTTCTGCTTTATATAGGTTCATCAAACTAGAACAAGTTTAAAGCCAAAAACTAATGTAGAAAATAAATATCAGCAATGTCAACATTAACATTAACTTTAGCTATCACAATGATACTGTAATACAGAAGAAATTTCTGACAGAAAGAATAAAGGTGTAAAGAAAATAAAAGAATGTAAGCGATGTCATAATGAGAATATTAAACTTTCGTTTGGGACGGCTTTCTTACTGCTTCTTAAAGCACTTTATATTAAAAAATTTTAATTTTTGTACTAGAAAATTATTTTGAGAAACAATAAGAAAGTCGTCCCAAACGAAACCTAAATAACAAGAAGGTCTAGAAGTACTGCTCCAAGAGATGGTATGAACACAAACTAAAGAAGTCATTCCTCATTCTCGCAAAAGAAAGTCAAACAAAACAATCTTTCAATCAAAGTTCATGCCAATTAAGTACAAATGAAGGCTTATAAATAGAGATAAAGAATACAAAAATTCAACCAACTCAATTTACTTCAAAAATACCAAACGGAAGGATAAAAGAGGAGAAAATTTAAGTGGAGGGAAGAAAACAAGAAGAATGCGATGAAAATGAAGAGAAGGTGGTGAATTTCACAATGTAATAAATCAGAAGTCAAAGCATGGGGAGGATTAAGGGGGGCAATCAAGCATGCGAAAAGGAGAAAAATGCATTGAATTTAGTTGGATGGCCTAGAATGTCCTGTAATGACTCAGATGCATAAAAGGGACTCAAAATACATGAAAAATATCAAAACTCACAAATATTAAATCATTCAATACATAAAATCTCACAAATACAACACAGTGGGTCCTCGGAGCATGAATTCTAGTCTAACATCAATAAACAAGATTACGAAGATGGCATTAGAACAAGATACTCCACATCATCGATCAAGTTGAAGGGTCCACATGGGCAACAAGCAAGCTATAAATAGGGAAGTATTACCTTCTTTGACCTCCAATGATATAAGGCCAACGCAATAATTAAGTCTCTTATCTCAGACTATCAGCTAGCTCATTTCAACCATGCTGGGACAACTCAATATATATATATATATATATATATAAAGCCGCCAACTGTAGCACTACCCAAAAATTCAAAAAAAATATTTTAAAATTAGCAACAACAATCAAGCCTTTGTCCCACTTCGTGGGGTCGCCTACATGAATCTTTTTTCTCTATTGTGTCATGTTAAAAGTCAAATTCTCATTTAAATCTAATAAAGAAAAATCATGTCTAATATTTTCTAACCAAGTACTTTTAGGTCTACCTCTACCTTTCTTAACATAAGTCAAATCTAATAACTCTACTTTCCTAACCGAGTCATTGGAAGGCCGCCGTTTTATATGACCAAATCATCTAAGACGACTCTCTCTAATCTTATCTTTCACTGGAGCTAATCCAATCTTTTCAAGTATATGCTCATTTCATATCCTATCTCTAAGGGCCACCTGAGCAACAAAAACATGGATGATAGAACCTATGATGCCAGGACAAAGATGTTTGAGTATAAGATCTCAGCATTGCAAAAATATTCAGATTCCCATTTAAAACTTGAAACCTGAGAAGCAGAAACCAGACGTAGACTAGAGTAGTTCATTATAAGTTGAGAAAATTACGTGTCTTTTAATCCCATGATATCTCAAGATGCATTCTTTGACAGGGCCATCACATTGAAGCGCAAGGAATCAGAATTTTCCTGAATCATAGCTTTTATGACTTTGGCAGTATCCTAAGGCAAAAGGGAAAACAAATCATAAGCCATCAAACTGAAATAAAATATGCAACAATCTAACTATGCAGTGTTTGTAAATTACTGCAAGCAAAATAACAAAGAAGGAAATATTCAACAATCAAGATGAGTACGAAATATTCTAGTCTAATGAAATATTGTATACGTCTAATGAATATTATCTAGATTCAACAATCAGGTAATTTTCTTAACTATGAGTATGAAAAATCTTAGATGTCTTAATAATCTAAATTATGAGAAAAATACCTACTTATAAGTACAAAATATCTACCAAACATGTAGCTGGTGGTCTGCTATACCGACCAAGCCAACAACAACAACAACAACATCAAGTCTTTGTCCCACTACATGGGGTCGGCTACATGAATCTTTTTTTCGCCATTGTGTCATGTTAAAAGCCAAATTCTCATTTAAATCTAATAAAGAAATATCATTTCTAATATTTTCTAACCAAGTCTTTTTAGGTCTACCTCTACCTTTCTTGGTCTACTATACTCACCAAGCCAAAATAAAAAAAAAATATATAAAAAAAACTTGATGAATTGAAAAAAAAAAAAAAAAAAACTTGATGAACTGACAACTCTCATTACCATATTAACCAAGGTTATCAACAAGTTAGTAAAGCCTATCAACATGTTAACAATCTTGAAGATCATATTAATGAAATTGAAAAAAAAAAGAGGAGATCATATTAATGAAATTGCCAACATGCTAATAGAAATTGTCTTGTCAGCTATAAACACATCAAAAATAATTTTGAGCAATAGCTTGGCAACATGGCGTTTTCCAAGGAAAAAAAAAAGGAACTGCATGCCTCTAAAAAAGGAGCTGCTTTGACAGACGCATAGAAACTGAATCAAAACCATCTTAACATGACCAAACAAATGGAAAAGTCAAGCCAACCCATTAATCAATTCAAGTGGATGGTAAATGGCACAGGAGAAATGAAAAGATTAACTATAGTGGCCCATGGATAGTGGGGGTATGTACCAGTCTTCAAAATGCTATTCGATTTGTGGAATCCATTTTAGTTTTTTATATTTTATGTTACAAGAAAACAACAACCAAGTGTTCTCGGAATCTAGTTGTTTCATATTTTGAAAAAGAAATTGTTTCGTTTATTGAAACTCAACTAGTTAGGAGCAGATTGGGATCACTTTTACTTTTTTTTTTTAATTTATATATTGACATAAAAAACAAATTATTTGCTATATTAAAAATATGTTTTTATTATTTATGCAGTGTCGGTTGCCAACAAGAAACAATGAAAACTACAAGGTGCTGACAGCTGCGTTGATCACCAATGGTAGTGGTGGATGCCAAAGGCAGACGTTTTGGAGGTAAGCAATCATAGCTTTTTTTGAAAACACTAAAAATACCTAGAAGTTGTTATGAGTGTTTTTGAAAACAAATTGATTTGTTTTTTAAAAAAAAAAATTTAAAACAATTTAAAAGCACACCAAAGAAACATTTTTTTTTAAATAAAAACAGGAATATTTAAACTAATGCTGTCAATGTTCTTAAGAATTAGCATTTAAAATGATTTAATAATATTGTACACAACATAATATTCAGTAGCCGGCATTATATATGACATTAAATACCAAATAAGAATTATATATGAACTAAATACCAAATACTTTGGAACATTAGAGATACCAGTTTATAATAATAATAAAAAGCAGCATCATTTAGTAACCTTAAAAATAACTTCTCTCTCTCTCTCTCTCTCTCTCTCTCTCTCCTAGTGGGGAGATTGTGATTTTGGGCAATCAAGTCATTAATAAGAGTACACGTTTATTATATCTTGGATCCATTGTTCAAAGTGATGGCGAAATAGATGGGGATATTATTAGTAGAATTCAAGTTGGATGGTTGAAGTGGAGGAATGCTTAAGGCTTGTTGTGTGATAGAAAAGTCCCTCTCAAACTTAAGAGAAATTTCTATAAGATGGTGATGACTGGTGAGACCGCAATGCTTTATGATGCAGAATGTTGTTCATTAAATAATATTAAGTGCTGCAGAGACGAGGATGCTCAGGTGGATGAGTGGCTTTACTCTTAGAGACAGGATATGAAATGAGCATATACGTGAAAAAGGTTGGAGTAGCTTCAGTGGAAGATAAGATTAGAGAGAGTCGTCTTATAGATGGTTTGGTCACATAAAATGGAGGCCTTTTGATGACCCAGTTAGGAAAGTAGATTTAGATTTGGCTTATGTTAAGAAAGGTAGAGGTAGACCTAAAAAGGCTTGATTTGAAAATATTAGAAATGACTTTCGTTATTAGTAGGAACAGGAGGAGAACGACGAAGGTTCTGAGTATTAGGTGTGTTACGCTAAGTTATAATTGTCTCTATTATTTTATTTTTATAAATTTTAATAGTTTTTGAATTATCAATATGAGTGGGTATTAATTAAACAATAGATATAAATTTAAAATTTAATTAATATTAATTATAATTACCTCTATTATTTTTTTTTTATAAATTGTAATAGTTTTTGAATTATCAATATGAGTGGGTATTAATTAAACAATAGATATAAATTTAAAATACTATTTAATAATTAATGACAAATGTTTATTTGTACTAAATATGATTAATCAGTCTAATTAAGATTTATATAGGCCAAACAAACATAATAAGATTTCACAATAATATAAATCCTTATTCCTAAAATAAGCAACCCAATACTTTATTGAAATTTAATTCGATTTAACATCTCTAATGCCAAACAGTTTCCAAGATTTAACCTACACAGGATTTCTTAAATCTGAAATTATAGGATTTATTAAATGCTACTTTGGGTTGAATCCTACTTGCAGCCAAACAACCCCTAAGGGTATTTTTTATTTGAAGAAATTGGAAGCATTTTACTTTACTAATTTATATTGGAAGTTTGGTTCCAATGAAATTAATAGTTACTTTTATTAATATAAGAAATGTGAACAATTGCATTTTTCCATTGAAAAATCTAAATGCAACTCTAATGAAGAATGGGTGAAAACTACTTTTCTACTCAATCCTAAAGAAAAGCAACTCCAATGAAAATTCTCAATCAAACTCTAGAGAAGAATGGATGATGTGCGCAAAAGAGTTGTCCTCAATTTCTCCAATAGTTCTAATTTTTTCCATCAACAATGCCCTCACTTTCTCCAATGGGAAGAAAATATATCCAAAAGTTTTAAGTTTTTCCAATCCAACTACATTCCCAACCCCCAATTCGAAAGAAAAAAATGAATTTTCACTCAATTTTTCCTCTCAAGAAAACAAGTGGGTGAAAACTAATTTCAATTAACTACCATTACCATCATTATATCTCTTTCCTCTTTTCAATACCCACAAACCAAACAAAGCCCAAATAAAACTGAAGTGAAAATAACAGTCAATCGTGTTCATTCTTCAATTTTATAATTTTTTTTTTTTCTCTTCAAACTGAACAAAAAAAGAAATTTAAAATTTTCCACTCAATTTCTCTTCAACCAAACTAGTAGGTGAAAACTAATCTCAATTCATCATTATATCATTTTGTTAGGCCGGTTCAACCCGAACTAGCCCAGCCGGCCTTTGGTCTACAGGAGGCGGACAAGTGCCGCCTCCCTTTCTTCTTGCCACCCAACTAGTGGGCCCCACTAGGAGAAAATTAAGTAAAGAGAGTTGGGCGGCTAGGGTGAGAGGGAAATTTTGAATTAAGGATGTTTGAATTAGGGAATTAATGTATTAATAGTATGGCTTGTTTAGGGTTAGGGTTATGCATGATTTGAGTTGTTCTCTTGGAGTCTCCTTGGTGTCTTGGGCTCTAGATTCACAATCTAGAGATTTGGGAGAGATGATCCTACTCTCAAATTGAAGATCAATTGTATCTTGCTTGGAGTTTGTTTATTTTGATTCTTCTATTGCGTTCTATCGCTCTTGGATTGATTTTCAACCAGATTTTTCTTGTTTGCTCGCTGTTTTGGGCCAATTATTGCTAGGGTTGCTTGCAAACTCAAGTATTTCCTCTTGGATTACTTGCGAACTCGAGTATTTCCTATCACATTTATATTTCAATTTCCTTCAAACCAAACAAGGCTTAATATATGGTACTTTCCAAGATAAATGGCGTCGGACACAACCAGTCTTCATTTAGCATTTGCATAGTTAGTAAATGGTAAGAGAGGAAAATGCTATTTGTTTCACTGTGGCTATCTTTCTCAGAATCAAATCTATTTTCACATCGCATACACTTATTCTATCCGACAGCTTTTGGGTCTGTTTGATTAGGCCTATTAAGTACCTCAAACCAATCACTCAGAATAAAATTATGAATTAAAACACATTAGCATTCTAGCCTATTACTTGAAGCAAATGGAATCTTACAGTCACTTAATCTATTTGAAAATTGAAATAATAGGTAATTTGCTTTGCTACTAGTTGTGGGTGTGTACATTATCTCAAACAAGTTGGGCAACTTTCCCTTACTGTATTGGCCTACATTTTTTATGATTGTTTACAGAAAAAGATTTAGAATACAGCCTGTATAACATTTTTCATAAGTAGGACATGAATTTGATATTTATCCATAAACCTCTTGGATATTAAATATTTGGAAAATATGCAAACCTGTAATAAGGTATCTGGTGACGAGGGACCATGCCTTAATGGACGGGACTTCATTCCATCAAATTCATAGAGTTGTCCTACAAGAAGAAAATAGGAGGGTAGAACTTAGAAAACCAGATTAGTGAATAAGCATTACTATGGCTTCATATTTAAGATATAAATTCAATATACCACCAAGATTCATACCATTAACACATGCAAAGGCAATGTAGTGCTCCTGAACAACTGAAACAGCCTAAAAAGATGAATTGTTTCATCAGACACCATTTTCCAAGCCAAAATACTCAAAATTGATATCAAAATCTAGATCCATGCAGACACTATAATAAATTTATATTTCCATAAATATAATAAATTTTGAGAAAAGTTAAATAACAATAAAACTAGAAGATTATATCTAACTGTACCAGTGTCAGCAGGGAAAAAAGGGGAATTACGAAGGTGGACAATAGAAAGAAAAATACAATAAAAATGTTAAAAATCAATTTCAGGAGATTTTGTTATCAAATTCTCAAGGCCAAGTGTTGGATCACCCACCAAAAGGAAGAGATGGGAATCCCCAAGTAGACATAAGAGAAAAACTTTCACTCATAACCATTCATTGAAAATCCAATACATCAAGTCTTATTTATATAAAAACATAAACCCTACCAATAAATAATTTTTCCTATAAAACAAATTAATTTAAAAATTAAATAAATAAATGGAAATTCGCTCATAATCTGTGAAGGACTAAAAAAGACTTGAAAACAGACCCTACTCAACTATTTATTTCTTGGTTTAGCTCTCCTTGAGTTTGGTCAACAAAAAACTTGAGTCTTTCTAAACCATTTGGCTGATTGAGCTACGTCATTTCCGCCAAGGCAAGAAAAAACTCTCCTCCAGAGAGCAGAAGTGGTGGAAGGCTGGAAGCTATCAAAGTGAGAGTATATCTCCATCAAGTCAAAACAATTGTAACATTTTTCAAATGTTAGTGGTAAAAATATCGGCGGTTGAAAAAGAAGCATACCCTTACCTGCACAAGCTCCAATTGTAAAAACAACAACAATAATTAAAGGCTTATTGGTGCCTCGAATTGGTAACATAGATGCATCCTTAAAACGAACACTAATACTAATATTAAAAGGCAAAATATTTACAAATGCATTAGATCGTGATGACCACTAACATGATAAGGCTTTATGCTCTAAGTAAACAACAAATAGAGAAAATACAATCATGACTTAAAAACAGATAAATTACATCATAGCCCTTCATGAATCTTTCCAAATACTCAAATGAGTTTGCATATAAACATAGGCCATTCATATGGTATAAAAAAGTTCAGTTAAAACCTAGTGTATAATTCATGCAAATTATCTACACATAATGCAATAAAATCATAGCATACATGGAATGAACCAACTACAAGTTATGTAATGGAAAATAATTCATGAAGAAGAGGTGAATTATTGAAAGATTTAGAATCACAATTTCCGAGTTAATTGAATATGTCAGGTCAACTATAATTTTAGTTTCATATTCAAAGTCAAATTTTGATTCAGAATGTAATTCAAGTTATCCATATGCAATAATCCATATATGATATTAAATTATTGTCATGTGCGTTTAAAGCATCTTGGAGAAGGGCTAGTTATCGTTGAATTCTTTACTATTTTCATCATCAGGAATTGGAAGTTTATCTTTACAATAATTATAATTTTTGCAGGACATTGGGAAAGCATATGACATTTTTCTTGACACCAATAGTAGGCTGATTCAGTAAAGATAAATTGATCATTGGTTTTCCAAAAGGTGCATGTTTAGGCTAAACAAAGGGAACAAACAACAATTCACTCAATAAACCCATATGATTATATCCACAATTTTTTTTTACAATTTCCATCATTAAGAATGAAAAATTAATTACGTTCTTTCACAATAAATATAATTTTTACCGGAAATCCGGAAATTATATGACCTTTTCCTTGACATCCATAGCAGAAAAATTCAATACCGATAAAATGATTAGTTTTATTTGAATTTTCAGAAGGTGCAGCTATGGGCTAAACTGGGTGACACATAAAAATTCATTAAATAAACCCTTAAGGTTAGGTGCTGACAGAAAGGTTGACATTGTTTCTAAAAGGAATGGACAATCTCCTTTCCACTTCTAAGGCTTTGAGATAAGCTTTTATAATCATTGGTTCAAAAGGTCTCACTTCAACCTTAATCTTAAGGCGAAGGCCATTCAGAAACATACATGTTACCTTCCGTTTCTCCTTGCAAATCACATCTAGAATGTAACCATTAAAATTGATTTAAATATTCATTAACAATTATATTAACTTGCCTCGGATCAATAAATCAATCAATTATTCTAGACCAGTAATAAGCAGGCGGGCATTTGGACTTCAAATCCGTCTTTTATATTAAGATAAAATAGTTCATTAGGCAAAATTATGAATGTCAAACTCCGAACCAATATCTTTTCGCGGCATCAACAAGTTTAATCTTTAGCATATTTAGCATATTATTGATCATTGATGGTACGAATAAAAAGATCCTCAAGTATAAATATCCATTCTAGAAAAATATGTGGATCATATCTAACATCCAAAGTAGTCCTTGATGTTAACTTTCTTTATCACATTGGATTCCCCCTGGTGTCAAACAGGTTGAACCCTATAACCTCTTTCATGTTGCCTACAGTATTGAGCATCATGAGCAAACATAATCATTAAGAAGACCTCTAAACTTCCAATTTTCTCTATATTCTATTCGATCTCTAAGATTCTAATGACATTTAGGATCATTATAGTCTAATATTTCTAGTCTGCTCAGGTCAGGTTTACGAACATCTAGACCTATTCTAAGGACATCTCTAGCAACCTGAGGTCAAATAGGTTGAGTGACAGCAATGTGATTCCAAGAGGGGAGTGAACAAGCCTATTTCAAGTTGAATCAGTGCTTGCTCGAACCTATATATGCCGGCTCGAAATCATCTCATGGCTCAAATTGATTCGATTTTGCGTTAGCTTGGCTCAAATAAGCTCGATTTCAATTTGACTTAAAAACATTTATTTTCTGGTTTTTCATTTTTTAATAGGGGATTTTACATACATGCTACTTTATTATATCCATATTATATATTTAACACCCAAAAGTTAAATATTACAATCTCACCACCCAAATACTAATTTTATAACATAAATACCACTCCGTCTCCTAAACCCACACTCCGTCTCTTCCTTCGGGAGTTACCTGTTCTTTCCGCGAGAGAACTCCCCCTTCCCACCATTAGTTGTTCATCCGCATGCTTCTCTCCTCAGCTTCTGCGTGCTTTCTCTCACTAGCAGTGCTTTCTTTCTGCCATCCTCCCTCCATAAACCTCTCAGGCTTGAATTTTGCGGCTTCTTCCCAAATCTTCTCATCCAAAGTTGTTCCTCAACACTGAACTTGACTGACGCTTTCTTGGGTATCAAGTACCCTTCAAATTTGATATCTTCTATTACAGAATGGGGAAGAATGAAATGGCCTAGACGATGAAGACATAACCCTTCCACTATCACTGCTCTCAGGTAAGACATCTTCTCAAAATCTTCAGAATTTGTAGAATGATACCAATTCATCTTCGTTGAGATGCTTCCACTATCTTCTTCCAGGAAAGGTAGACAACTGAGCTTACTGGCATGAAGAAGGTAATTGATATCAAAGGCCCAGCATCAGCGAAGAGGCGGATGCGGGAAGGGTTCAGGATCTAGATTTTGGATCTTCAAAGATCGTCGGAGCCATTATAGGTTCCCGATAATAGGAGTTGCTACCGATTGAGAAATGATTTTCCCGAGTTGTCACGCGGTAGAGACTTCGTTGGTTCTCTGCTTCGTTGAGCATGTGTCGCTTCTTCAGCCAAATCCCAAAAATCCGCCGAACCGAGGGATTTAGTAAATCCGGGATTTAAGCCGTAAATCCTTAAATCTGGGATTTAACACGCACACAAAAACCGTTTGGCTGGATTTAGCATAAATCCAACTTAAATCCCACTGTAAATCCGATACCAAACAGCATGCGGAAGAACAGCTACCGCGGGAAGATGAAGTTCTCGTGCGGAAAGAATAGATGACGCCTAACGCCGGAAAGAAGAGGAGTGTGGGTTCAGGAGACGGAGTGATATTTATGTTGTAAAATTAGTATTTGGGTAGTGAGATTGTAATATTTAACTTTTGGGAGTTAAATATGTAATTTGCATATAATAAAGTTGCATGTATGTAAAATCCCCTTTTTAATATTATATGTGCATATTATATATATGCATTAAATTTAAAAAATATGCATATTCTTTATATTTCAAGCATGCTCAATCCAACCTAGGCCCAACTAAAAATCAGAAAAAAGTCAAAAAATTAGCTCATGGATCAACTCGTTTGGCCTGATTCAACATCAATTTGGGAAAAAATTGATTCAATATCCAGCAACATTCAATCTTCAAACTAAAATCTCAACCCTAAATTTCAATGATAATATGTTTGACCAGGCAAATAATAAGGCTCTTCTTTAACTAAGTCATCTAAGGCGAATGTGGGAGATGATGATTTCCAATGAGGTGGATTTCCTATAGGGTGATTAGGTAAGGAACATGAGAAGTTCTTTTGCCAATACTTCAAATTTGGTTTATTTCAATCAAATCTTTTGCTTTGTCAGACATTTCTCCTAGCTTACATATAACTGTCAGATATCTTTTTCCAATCATAACCATTATATTTCTATATTTTCTAACCTTTATTTCATTTTTCAACATGTTTCATAAACATCTCTTACTGCGACAAATTCAATGTCATATGAATGTAAAACCAAGCAAAATTAACAATGCAACTAATAGAATAATCTTATGAGAAAGAAGATTGCTAAAGTGTTGGGCTTCAAAGTTGTCCAGGAAATGAATTATCTTGGGATAAAGATATCCCTTAACCGGCTGAGGGCTGTTGACTTTCAGGATATTTTAATCAATATGATGGATAGGCTTAATGCTTGGGGGAAGAAGTTTCTTTCCATGGGTGGTAAGATTACTCTTATCACTAGCTCTCTTTTGTCAATGCCCAATTTCTTAGTTACACACTCCTTGATCAGTTGATCCCTAAGAAAGTGTTGCTTACAATGGAAAAACTTTGTAGAAGTTTTATTTGGAATAAACCTGATGGCAGCCATAGTATTCACTACGTTGCTTGGGATGATCTTTGCAAGCCGAGAAGTATGGGA